TATATATATATATATATTCTTTAAAATAATTTTGTGATAATACTCACCATTAATGTGAATGGTTTTCCGTTCCTCACGATTGCTAAAAATCCAGCAAAACTCTCGAAATGAAAGTCATCTTGCCGGGTCCATACTGCAAAGTTACTGCTGGTTAGCTTGCACACTGCTCAGTAGCTTGCACGCTTCCTTTCGGCGGTCTCTCGCACAGTATTTTGACGCGAACGTAGCATGGGGCGTGTCAAAATGCCGCTCTGCATTCGACCCTTTCATCGATGGTATTTTGTCATTGCAAATCAGACACACCGCAGAACCTGTTCTCTCCATAAAGGCAAATCCTTCGGTCCATTCATTCCGAAGTCTGCAAAACTCGTCATCTTTTTTTCTTTTCGCCATCTTATTAGTTTAGGATTAGCTTTGAGCTAATGGGCGAGCCGGTTGATTCAAAAGGGGGTATATCTGTTTCCACAGCAACGGCAACGTTGGCCAGTATCATCCAATCAAAATGGCTCCTGGAGCCAATTGCAGCTCGAACGAGGAAATGAGCAGTGAAAAATCGATCGATGGATGGATTAATAAACAAACGAGAATATTTTGTTCATCTGCGAGCCAGATGCAATCATCAAAAGAGCCATATATTGCTCGCGAGCCATAGGTTCCTGACCTCTGTGCTAACCAGTCGTCCACCGGGCCACCCTTCATCATTTATTGCCTGCTTAATTCCACTCATAAGTGAAAGAGAAGAACTGGGTGAGACTGGCTTTCAAAAAAAGTGGTACGCAATTTTGTACTTATTATAGTTGGCTCGTTTATTGCAGAAAAATGCATACCATCAATGGGTAGGTTGAGGAGCTGCTGTATCATGTCCTCCTAGATGTCCTCCTCCGGCTATTAGGGTTACATGTCGGTCTTTGACACTAACAATCCATTTCTGCTCATCATTTAAAGAGCATTTTTCAGAATTGGTTTACTTGCAGACTTCCCTGCAGAAATGTATTTTTTTGTTGTTGTTTTTTTGATTGATTCCCGCGACCCACCAGATGATGCACAGCAGCCTACGTCCCCCCACTATAGTGCTGGGCAATCTGGAAAACAATTATCTGTCACGATATTGTCCATTTTATGTCACGATGACGATATACCGCGTTGTATTTTCAAGTAGTTTATTAAAAAAATCAAACAACTCACTATGACTGCTTACCCTTTCTCACTTTATTTTGAGGTGAAAGTAAACCGACCTGTCTCAAATGATTCATGCCTGTAGTTGTGCTGTGATGTTAAATGACCAAATGTAAACAGAAACAAAGTACCGTATTTCCCGCACTATAAGGCACACCGAAAAGTCTTCCATTTTCTTAAAAGCTCACAGCGCGCCTTAAAATCCGGTGCGCCTTGTGTATGGTCATTACGGTAATATGTCGACCCTTGCTGGAGACATGCTTACAATGTTATAACTTGCTGTTGGTTCAGTGAACTGTGTCGCCGCTTTATTACATAAGTTTTTGTTGCTGTGGTGTTGTTTTTTTAAAACGCACACTTTATTAATGGTTTTCACAGTCTCAACAAATACAGGTATGTCTTTGTCTGTCTCCATGCCTTCTCTTCTTCCATTTGACTCGAGAGGCGTTCATGACCGCCTCCGAAAAACCTAAATTAACAATTCCTTCAATGAAACTACGAAAATTGAAAATAATGCATCAAAACAGAAAATCAAGCGAGGAAATCACAAAATAAATTCTATAGCACCCCTCCAGAATTTATTTTGTGATTTCCTCGTATGTGAAAACAGTACACAACAAAGGAATAAATAACAAACACTTCTGAGACAGTCCAGTCTCCTGCATTTTCCTGACATCTGATCGTTCTGTTGGAGCTATGCTCAAGGAAATGCCAAAATAAATTCTGTAGGGGGGCTATAAAATTTATTTTGTGATTTCCTCGGTTGATTTTCTGTTTTGATGCATTATTTTCAATGTTCGTAATTTCATTGAAGTAATCATTAATTTACGTTTTTCGGAGGCGGTCGTGAACCTTCGAGTTGAATGGAAGGAACGTAGCTCCATCTAGTGGATGCATTGTAGATTGCCACTTATAAGCCAGTGCGTCCATTATATGAAAAAAATGACAAAATAGGCCATTCATTGAAGGTGCGCCTCATAACCCAGTGCGCCTTTTAGTGCGGAAAATACGGTACTCCCAATATTTGTGCACAAATGTAGATTGCAATCTAAATAAGAGGCATAAAAATGGATTGAAAAGAAATTAAAAAAAGAGAGAAATACTGTAACGTAATTTTGAGAACATTTATTTTGCAGATCTCAAAAGTCCAAAATCAAAACTTAGAACTGTATTGTGAAAACAAATCACATATGTAATATTATATGCATTCAACACACTATGTGTATCTGTCATGCTGTGTGCATCAATTTTCTGAATCACTTGTCCTCCTTATTTATATACAGGTAAACTTAATCTTCCGGGGCACTCATCCAGGCTGACGTATGAGATGCTGTAACATTTCCTGTTTAGCTGTATGTGAATCATTATTTTGTATTCATGTTCTCTCCTATCCATCCATCCATCCATCCATCCATCCATCCATCCATCCATCCATCCATCCCAAACACAAATTAGTACCAGGTAGGATATAGAGATAAGATCTGTCCGAAAAAATCGAGCCCGACCCGAACCGGCCCGAGGGTATTTAAGCCCGACCCGGCCCGAGCCCGATCACTTAGCTTGATTTGCAGGCCTGAGCCCGAAGCAAACCCGACATTTCATATTTTATTTGTGAGGACTCGGGAGGAGGAGGGGTGATTTCTGATAATAAACCCTGCCTTTTGTAACGAAATCTAAGTTAAACAAGACTGTATAAACATTTACATCTTTTATATTTCTGTTTCTGAAGAGGTTACATTAACCGACAATTTTCTATCATTTGACGGATTTTTTTTAGGAGTGGACGGGGAAAATTTAAGGCCATCCGTCATTTTGACGGGTTGAAAAATGGGCCGTAAATCACGGCAGCAGTACGTCCTTAAGAAATAAGAGAGAGAGGCAGAGAGACAAAAAGAATAATGATGGGTGGATCATACACAGAGACAGGAAGGAGTTCTTTGAATTGTCATTGCAAGAGTTTAGTGCAGTATTGTTGTGATGTGGCGACTTCTGTTTTTTTGCGAACCACGGTCTCTCGTGGCCAAAACTATTGACGGCCTCGGAAAAAAAAAAAAGTCAGCGAGAGAGAAGCCCGACCCGACCCGAACCCGAGGCAATGATTGACATTTTAAGGCCCGACCCGACCCGAAATTCGGGTCGGGTCGGGCTCGGGCGGCCCGATCTTACCTTGTGTAGGATAGACCAAGCCGACAGAAAAATTGAGGTTGATATCAAATGTAATATTTGACAGCAAATGTAAGTTAAAATAGATGTTGTATGTCACGTTTTGTCTCACCTGCAGGTCTACTCTTTCATGTGAGCTAGTAACGTGCAGTCAACGTTGTGGTTCTTGGACAAACTGGCTGCACTTTTCTAATGTAACGTAAAGCACGTACCGCCATCTCTTCATTCTTTTCTTCATCATCTTGGGGCTTTGATTCTTTTTGTACACCCTGGTCAATAGGTTTTTCTCATTTTGTACGAACAAGCCTGCTAGTCGGTGGCTTTCCGATGCCCAGTATGTCATTGCAATGATGTTTTAGAGTAGTGTCGTTGATGTAGTCCAAGTTAAGCCCGTCTGTCGGAGGTGATGCCCGTTTGCCAGCGCTGCTTGACACACAACCAGCCCAAAAGGGAGTGGGAAAGTAAGTGGTAGTCTATCGCGAGCAGGTCACAACTTAATGAATGGAGGGAAACACTGCGGGTGACTACGGTGACACAATAACTACTGTGCAGCAAATTTACTGTACTTTTTTCCCCCACTCCGCCCATATCGGGCAGTCCGATGGTCAGTCCATGCCTGATACTGAGGCACGTCTCATTGTTACAGGGGTACCACAGTAAAAGGGCTCTGGCAACGCCTAAGCACTGTAGCCTTTTTAAAGGTACAGTGTGGAAAATGTAGTACCACCTAATGGTGAACTAATAGAATGCAATGACCTAAACTCGGATTTTGAAGCACACGCACGACGATGCCTCAGAGAGATCACACTTGGTCAGCGTACCACCAATTTCTTCAGCAGAGGTGCAAGCAAAATGTCATCCCCAACGACTTCTAATATTTCCTCAAGTGACTAAGTGCATGGAAGTTACTACGTTCGCTAAGTTTGTATTCTTTGGGTAGCCATAGCACAAAGATGGTGGTGACACATAGCAGCAGCCTCCTGTAAGGGGAGGTGTACCCTTTATAATTAACGATTACTTCACCTACAGTTACATAAAAAATTACTTTGATGCGATAGATCCTGAGCAGCCATGTGGTTCAGTGCTTAGCGCGTCAACCTCAGTGCAGAGGTCGTGGGTTCGATCCCGGCTCCGGCCTTCCTGTGTGGAGTTTGCATGTTCTCCCCGGGTCTGCGTGAGTTTTCTCCGGGTACTCCGGTTTCCTCCCACATTCCAAAAAGCATGCATGACAGGCTGATTGAACACTCCAGATTGTCTCATAGATGTGAGCGCAGATGGTCGTTTGTCTCTGTGTGCCCTGTGATTGGCTGGCAATCAGTTCAGGGTGTCCCCCGCCTACTGCCCGAAGACAGCTGTGATATGCTCCAGCACCCCTTGTGAGAAGAGGCAGATCGGAAAATGGATGGATCGAAAATGGATGTGATAGATCATATTTTTTTGTATATTATTGAAATCAATAGTGGGTTTTTCAAATAATGAACAGTGAAAAATCTTCACACACTGTCCCCTTAAACACTAAATATGTTTTCTAATACTGTTAAAAGATTTGCACTTGGCAAAGTTGTATCCAGAATAGTTCCCTTGTAATTCACTTAAATCACAAATATCCCATTAAAATTAAACTCATTTCGCATGAACCTCCTCTATAAGGAAATGTTTCTCCTAAGAAATGGTTATAATCCTGATTGCAACAGATCACAAAGTTTTAGTAAATAAATGAACGTTTCTTTGAGGGAAGAAAAATGTAAATTTCTACCCCCGAGCTTCATTGACTATGCAGGCCACGTTTCTTCGATTACACTGTCAGCCTGACCTGTGTCCGACATGGACCGCATGTCCTAAAGGTGTGACGACAACTAGAATGTAGACAGGCTACAGGCTGTTTTCATCTAAAAGACCCGTGTTGGAATCTAATTTATGGTATGGCGTTAAGGTCGCAGAATGGTGCAGAATGGTCTCCCAAATTGGTAAACAGGGCCTTACGCCTGTCGGAAAATCAGGATATGCCAGCATTTTGGCATATACCGTCTATGAAAACAGAAACCTATTTGTGCCATTGAGATTCATTGAAAAGTCCAGAGGATGTAGTCCTCCCTTTCGGCCACAGTCAGCTGGGAAAGATTTCATCTGACTCCTCGACAGGGTAAATGCTACAGAAATGGCTGGTTAGAGGGAAGGATGAAATTTAACCCTTTCAGGGACAGCGGTTACTACAGTGGACAGCTTTCATGTTATCAGGTTACACGTGCATGAAAGGGTTAAAACTATTCCCTTTGCCATTGCTGACAACGAAGTAGCCCAAGGATTAACAATTACATTATATCAAACTTTACAGTACATTCTCTTTCCGTTATCTTGCAAGAAACAGCTCATGTTTAATGGGCCTGTCTCATTCAAGTAGGACAGCCGCATCTCCTGCGGGGCCAATAGTGAGTCCGGCGTGTGTTACCATGATGACTGGGCGAGGAGCCGGAGCTTTGCTATAAGTGAGACGTTGCTTGGCGGGCGGCTCTTCTTATCTTGCTGGCGAATGTGTACTGCAGTCAATTCTCCTTGCAGAGGCACAGCCCAGAGTGGGGATAGAAGTGAGCACCCGCTGTTGTCAGAGTTTCAGCATTTTTACACAGCGCTAAATACATTTGTGTCGATCTTGCAATTATCACCAAACAATTAAAAAAAAAAAATGGTACATTTTCAGTAATGTCTCCAAACTGCACACTTAACCAGCCTTTCTAATATATTTTCATGCATGAGTCCTCAAATGCATATCCCAATGGGTTGCAAAAAGCCACACTCCGCATGCAAACCAAGTGTAAGATTAAAAAAAATACTGTCCTTTTTAACACCAACAATAAAAACCTGCAAAATAAAATGGCATTTCTATTTTGACATCAGTTCAACCCGAAAAAGGTTCTTTATAGTCATATGTTCTATGCAGTCACACTAGTCTAAACACGTTGCGCATACAATATGTTATTGTAAAGAAAATTTTTGGAGTAACTTACTCTTTAAAATTATTTACAAATTATAGACCAATATCACTGCTCCCACAATTCTCAAAAATATTAGAAAAACTATTTTCTCGTAGACTTGATAACTTCATAAGTAAACACGAGCTATTAAGTGAAAATCAATACGGCTTCAGAGAAAAACGGACCACCTTAATGGCAGTAATGGAGTTCGTGGAAGCAATAGCTTCCAATATAGACAATAAAGAATTCACTGTTGGGATTTTTCTCGACCTAAAAAAAGCTTTTGATACAATAGATCATACTATATTATTGAATAAATTAGAGAAATATGGTATCAGAGGCATAGCACATAAATGGATTGAAAGTTATTTAGAAAACAGATATCAGTATGTACAGTTCAAAAACAAAAAATCCAACTTACTGAAGATTACCCATGGAGTTCCTCAGGGATCAGTGCTTGGACCAAAACTATTCATTTTATACATAAATGATATCTGTAGTGTCTCAAAACAATTCAAATGTGTCCTATTCACCGATGATACAACCTTTTACTGCTCTGGAGAAAATATGAAACAACTCCTGAAAACTGTGGAAAATGAATTAAACAAATTAAAAAACTGGTTCGACAGAAATAAACTATCTTCAAATTTAACAAAAACTAAGTTAGTTGTTTTCGGCACGAGACCAATCAAAGATCAAGTTAAAATAAGGATAAATTCAATTGAAATAGAACGAGTTTGTGAAACTAAGTTTCTTGGACTAGTAATAGATAACAAACTATCTTGGAAGCCACACATAGATAACGTTAAAAGAAAAATATCCAAAACTATTGGGATACTCCACAAAACTAAGGATGTGTTGGATAAGAGTTCTTTGTACACACTATATTACTCATTATTACTCCCATATATGACCTACTGTGTGGAAATATGGGGGAACACCTGTAAATCAAACACACTCCCTGTCTTAAAACTACAAAAAAAAGCAATCAGAATAATCAATAGGTCCAAATATATAGAACCCACAAATCCGCTATTCATCAAATTAAATACAATGAAATTCTATGACCTGGTTGACTTCAAAATCACCCAATTAATGTATAAAGCACATCACAATCTCCTTTGCCAAAATATCCAGAAGCAGTTTGAAATTAGAGATAGTTGTTATAATCTAAGAGGTATCAATCAAAATAAAAAAATCCAGAACAAGAACAAACATCAAGCAAAGGTGTGTATCAGTAATAGGAGTCAATCTGTGGAATAAGCTTGAAACTGATCTGAAAATGAGTAAATCGCTGGACGAGTTCAAAAACAAATTTAAAAGATTAGTACAAACAAACTACAAAAATCAAAGTTAAGAAGATAAATTCGATATACTTATAAAATATAGTAATATAACGGTCTGTTCTTGTTTTGGATTTTGATCAACTCATTAAATGCATTCAAGAAATGCAGTATTTATAATGAATATGAGACAATTGATATAAAAAGGAAAAAGAATAATTATATGTATATTCATGTACATATGTAAGTGTGTGTATATGTATATGTGTGTGTGTGTGTATATATATATATATATGTATGTAAATACAAACAGAAGGGTGTATAATAGATAAGTACAGTACACATAAGGGTAAAAGTACTTGATGAGAGGTAGATCTCTTCCTTTTCTTTTGCATTGAAAAATGATCTATTTATATTATTACACAACAAGGGGTAGGACTAGATAAGTTGTATACTTCTTCCTACTCCTTTGAACATATAACGGTGATGATGTTTGTTTTATTTACTTTTTATTTTTATTCTTATTTTTCCTTTTGTAATTTTGTTTGCCTTTTGTCAATTGTTGTTGTATTTTATGTTCAATAAACAATTAACTAACTAACTAACTAACTAACTAACTAACAAACGGCAAGGCAAGTCAGCTTTAATTATATAGCACATTTCATACCCAAGGGCACCCTGCTAAATAGTTAAAATGAGACAAAACATGACCTCTGTCATGAATCCAAAAACCACTCGATTTGGTCCTTGATTTTCTTCAAATCAAGCTCTGGTGCAATATTTACGATGGTCACCAGCATTTACAAACATGACACAAAATTACAAGTACGTCATACCTTTAAGCGATATTCCGCTCAGAATGCACAGACACTAAAGAGGCTGGATGTGGGAGGCAATTATTTCTCGAGTTTTTAAAAATGCTTCAATAAAGAAAGGCCATGGCCAACTTATATGCATAAATATGCAATTATGTGTAAGTGTTTGTTGAACTGTTTTTTTTAACAAACAATGTTCTTTCTACATAAACAATATTTCCATCCAATGTCTGCCCATGTGTATGCGTAGGATTTTTATTTGACCCTTAGCATACACTAATGGGCTAAATAGGCTTCTTGATATCATAAAATCAACAGACCTTCAGTAATGCAGAGTTGTCTTATGAAGTGACAACCCATGCGAATGGGCTGGAGTCTGAACGGATGCAGAGCAGTGTGAGCGTCACCCAACAGGTGACAGGAGAACGGCACCTATATCACGCCAAAGCCTTTTTTAAAGACCGGCCTCAGTGTTAAGTGAGGCCAAAGTCAGTGCAGCTATCGCTACACACGTGCATTTTTCAGTCAATGATTTTCTCACTGGAGTGAAAAAAAATATATCACAAATATTTAAATCTGGAAGATATGAGTTACCACTGGAGTAAAATGATAGCGTAAACAATTCAATCATAGAATAAGCATTCTTTGTGGAAGTTTGGTAATTAAAAAATAATATCTCTGCTCAATTGAAACTTCACCAGAAAACAATTTTTTTTACAACTATAATACAGTAATACTGTTTCTAAGATTGTGACCACGTTATCTTGGTGCATGAGCGTAGACCAGTGAAGACAATTTTTGAGACGCGTTTATAAAGTATGTCATGTTTGTTTGCTCTCAAAATTAGGGGTACTCATTATCTGGCCCAACAGCCGCCTATTTGTGGCCACTGAACAATTTTGAACTCCCTCACACACACGCACTCACGCACACGCACACACACACACACACACACACACACACACACACACACACACACACACACACACACACACACAAACAGACTCCTTTTTGGAGGTTTGACACTTTTTTTTAATGTCAGAGTAGTTCAGCTCATTTTTTATTCACATATCGACGAAAATGTAAATATCCCGTAACTGCTTCGAGTGCAATGTTACCTCATCACATTTTCTGATCGACGAGGAATAAAGCATTTCGCATTTTTTATCATTCAGGGTAAAGTGTTTCGTAATCATTTGCCTACCAAATACGCGGCTTGCTAATGTTTCACCATTTTTCCACCTTGCCCACCTGCCGCTGTGCCGCTTGGAAGGTGAGGCAGGATCAGCAGCATCTTCCTCCACTGAAAAGATTTGTCAGCATTTGGCTACAATTTGCTCTCACATTTTTCTCCCCACGCCCCATCTTATTTTTTTTGCCCCACTACATTTCCTTATCACCTACCTTCGTTCTTCACGACATTCTCACCATGCTACCTTGCTTTATTAGCGAGTTGCTGAAGAGTGAAAGTGAAATGAGCCTGAGCCAATCAAATCTCAGGCAAAATGAGGACGAATCGAAGGTGGTATCTCACACGGATGCATGACTTTCTTAACATTGTGCAGGCTACCCCATTAGAAGTATTTATTGAACAGTGGTTTATAATTTTATTTAAATAAAGAAATAAGAATACAAAAAGAACATTTGGCCAGGTAGGCCTGGAATGCTTCTCAATTGCCACCCCGCCCCTGCTTGAATAGCTTCTTTTATCCCTGTGGCAGTGAGCTTGAGTGGGCGTTTCCCAAGCCAGAGTTTGGTGGTTCGATCCCCCATCTGTTGCGACCATGTCGAAGTGTCCTTGAGCAAGATACTGAACTCGTCGCTCCTGATGCTGCGTCATCAGTAGGTGAACGTGGTAACAATGTAAAGCGCTTTGAGTACTCAAAGTAGAAAAGCACTCTGTAAGTAACAAGCCAATTCTCAATTCCCATTCTGCACTTTAGTGCATCTGCATTGAATGTTGAAAGTATAATTTACCATGCTGACATGATAATTGTTGCGGCTGAAAACACCATTTACACAATCATAACAGTTTAGTTGAGCTGGAACATAAAATCCTGATCCAGCTTGTGTTTTATGCTCACCCGATGCCCATCACGACAAGGAACAAACTATTTTGTTCACCAATCACATACCTGTCAATTTGTACATTTTCCCCATATTTTATATGTTTTTTTTAGCATTTCAAATCATGTACGGCGCATTACAACTTTTATACGGGGAAAAAAAAACAATTGTGAACCGATCTCACAAAGACCATTTTGGCTCAAATCCAGATCGTCTCACCTGCTGGTAGCCAACGACAATGCCGTCGTCGATCGCTACTATTGTCACGGTAAGTCAGCAAAAGTAATCCTCAATCGTATATTTTTTTTCATCGCTGCGCACGGTAGGATTAATAAAGCATGATGTGCGCATGCGCAGTAAGCCGTTGTAAGGGTTTTTGTTGCTTTGTAAGGGGAATCGTAATCATTTATAAGGGCAGCTATTAGCCAAGGTTGACAGGTATGCAATCGCCAGGCAGAACAAGTGCTATGGTACAAAGTGTGCCAAAAAAGGTGGTGCAATACAAATATCTCAATTTAGTACCTTCATAACCCATGCCGATGCCAATGCAACGATGAGGTACGTTTTTAAATTATGCAAACGGTACAGCTTGGCGTAAAGAGCATGAATAATCAACATGTTTGGGCCCTTTTCCATGATTTCAATCAGTGACTGCTGGCAAATCTTTTCCGGAGGGGCTTGAACAAATAAATGAATGAATGAATGAATAAACAAATAAATCAAATGAACATTATCATTCTATTTTCATAGTACTAATATTGTTATCAGTTATTTCATATCATGTCCAACAAGAGGCAAGAACTACACCTCCTGTATTCATCTGTGTATGTTACAATGGAGCTCTTGTACATTTTAATTAGAAAACATTTTTTGGGGGGGGGGATTGATTATAATTTTGGGATAGGCTCCAACACACTGGCAAACCTCATGGACAAAAAAAAAGCAGGACAGAAAATGGATGGATGAGTAATTGGATGATTGTTTTAATCATTGCCTTATGATATTTATGTATGGCAGTAACACTGCGGTTTTTGTTCACTGGGAAGAAAAATAAAGTTAAGCTGAGTTTGACGACATTTTAAAAGGACATGCGAATTACGAAAGGCATTTGACTGTTTTTTAAAAAAAACAAATATTAAAACAGTGTTTTTCCAGCGGCACAAGGGGGATCAGTCTCACGCTTGGAAAATCACTACCAGTGTTTACTCATGCCATGGATTCTACCACTTGCTTTTTGTTGTCTGTGTCAGAGCAGAATTACCTATGCACTGTCGCCGATTCACGAAGGGTCTTGAAAGTTGCGCACAGCCATTTGAGCATTTTCTGGACGATTTGTGCATCTCTGTGTAGAATGTGTAAACGGCGCACTCCCAACAACAGATTCAGTTATGTGGTGACTGCGGCAGCTTTTTAAAATGATTTATGAATAGATCTTCAAAAGGGAGCCATCGTAGATTCAAACAACCTGATTTTTAATTGCTTGTGTACTAATAGGTTAGGACCTGGAATAACAGCCTACCTGTCAAGTGTGAAATTACAAAGAAGATTACATACTTGGAAGGTTTGGCTGTGTGAAAATTTGCCCCCTTTCAAGCAACGGCTGTGGTCTGGCCATAGGACTACATAGACACGTAAAATCCAAAATATCAACATCAGTATCTGTAGATCTGCACACGAATAGAATTAACTCCGTGTAATGTGGCATCTTGGTGATGAAGTACTGCCTTCACAAATGAAAATAGAAAACTGTGCTTTCACATCATTTTTATCGGGGCCCACTTTTCTCTTCACACTCTGGGCTGCTTGAGAACAAATACCCTCTCATCTCACTGCAGCACCCGAGCTCCATCCTGGTTGTCAGGGTAACGAAAACCATGCTCAACATTTTCTGGTGGAGCAGGTTGAGCAGTGGCTCATTTCATGTGATAGGACAGCCCCTCAAAAAAAGGCTAGTTTCAGAGAGACTATTGTTGTGAATACAGTAATCCCTCGTTTATCGCGGTTAATGGGGACCAAAACCACCCGCGATAAATGAAAATCTTGTAATCGAAGTAGCGTCCAATTAACATAAACAGGTAAAAAAAAAAAAAAAATATATATATATATTATATAATATATTTTTTTTATGTTTGAAAAAATCCGCGATGCACTGAACCCGTGATAAACGAACCGCGAAGTAGCGAGGGATCATTGTAGTTCATTTCTTAATTCGACAGTATCTTGTAAATTTCATATCCAAACCAGATTGATCTCTCTTCTCACACTAGCGCTATGATGTTCATCTTCTTATGAGTCTAAAAAAAAGACATCTTAAATCTACTCTCTTCTCATGGTCATTATTTTCATTGCACCGATAATGATAACCTGTCACCTGATGACATGATAAGCTGTCCACTGTAGTAACCTGTCCCTGAAAGGGTTGATGTTCAAACTATTCATTCTTCCATCCTACCATTTTCTAATCCGAATATCCTCACGAGGGTCGCGGGCATGCTGGAGCCTATCCCAGCCGTCTTCGGGCAGTAGGCAGGGGACACCCTTAACCGATTGACAGCCAATCGCAGGGTACACAGAGACGAACAACCATCTGCGCTCACACTCACACCTACGGACAATTTAGAGTGTTCCATTAACCTGCCACGCATGTTTTGGGAATGTGGGAGGAAACCGGAGTACCCGGAGAAAACCCACGCAGGCCGGGGGAGAACATGCAAAGTCCACACAGGAAGGCCCGCGGCGGAATTGAACCCTGCACTTTTGCACTGTTATGCCGACGTGCGAACCAGTTGACCACCATCCCGCCAAACAACCATTCATTCTTGCATTTATTGATTGATTTGTTTTCTGTTTAGTGTGTTTTTGTGTGTTTAAACATAAGATTGTAAATGACTGTGATGAATTTGTAAGAGACCTCAGGAAGACTAGTTCATGTTCCCATATTTTAGGAGGGGGGCATACAGTTTATACTTGTGAGTGGACTTAATATGACTT